AGTCTTGCCCTGAACTTTCTGAGGTACAGAGAAAAGAGCATAGAATGGTTGTAGGCAGCTGAGTTGGTTAGTAATACTCCAGGCATTCAGACAGGGCGAGGCCCTCAAAAGTCACTTGTGGAAGACAAAACCTTGCAGCTGGGGGAGGGACAGAAACTCCTGCTGTGGGCCAGACTTCAAGACAACAGATTAAACACATGCAGCCACCTACCTCCCTAGGGATGGACAACAGGGATTAATATTTTAAATAGGTATCATTCACCTTGAAAAAGCCAGAAAGAGCCACTCACCCAATGCCCTACAGGAAGAGCCCCTGTTCTGTATTCAGGTTCACTTATTATGTGCATGACTCGCTCTCCATTTGACCCTGATTTCATCAGTGTTATCTGAGCAATTGTACAGTTGTGCTTCTTGGTTGACTACAGCTCTGTCCCACCTACGCTCACCTGGCGAGTTCCCATGTTTTCCACTTTAGACTCACCTCACCTAATGATTTTGCTCTGTAAAAATCCCTAGAAAAGGCAGGGTCCTTAGTAACCCACTCAGGCCCCCTCCTGTCCCTCTCTCCAACAGAAGCTTTCTTTCCCTCAATAAATACATTCTACTCTTAACCTCCATTGTCCCTAAAATTCATTCTTTGGTTTTAGACAACACAAGCTGGTCCCAGGTATTTTTCAGGTTGGGAGTTTCATTCTCCTATATCCACAAGATGAAGGGTTAATCTTCCTGTGAAAAGACCCCTTAAAATTCCTGGGGTGCACTCCTCAGCTAGCTCTTTGTGCACTCAGTCACAGTGCATTCATATTCTCAAATAGGGTTTGGGACAAAAGATTCAGGTCTCCTCTTGGTAATTATGTCCTTAATTCTGTGCAAATCCTAAGAATTTCAATAACATCAGTTTTTTTCTTAAAATGCAATGGTCAATGTAACGACACAGATTTCTATGGATTTCTGTTGTTATTGTTGGAGAAAATTAAATAATACCATTTAAAATTATATACAAAAATGCTATAGAACTTAAAGCAGCTCTCTGAAGCTACAATGATTTACTCTTTTTGTTGTGCATCAAGTTCTTGCAATATTTAGACATAAACTTAATGGACAGGAATAGATAAAATCCCAAAGTGAATGGAAGCTGGCAAATGCCTTCAGCTTTAGAATCACCCCCATTGTGCAGCACAATACACTTTAGAAAATGTACAAACTATATTTAAGTCTCAGTCAATTTTAAAAGCAACAGAAAACTTTAGCAGCTGAACCTTACATTTTTCTCTAAATAAATATCCTTTTTCTGAGTTCAGCAACTGGGTGTTTACCAATATGGAACATTATTCACTTATTCAAACAAAGGACACCATGCAGCCTATGTCTGACTCAGGCTCATGGTTAGACCTCTAAGATCTTCCCTTTTCTTCAGACCAGCTCCTGCCTCAGAACTGAACATCTGGGGAAGCCCAGGTCATCTGAAACACCCCACGTTCTGATTACTAGTATTTTTAGAGGAATTGTTTTTTTCCATCCTAGGCTTAGGATCACCCACTGCAAAAAAAGGAATATGCTCATATATACATTTTTTTGTTTTTTTTTTTTAAATGCATGACATGCCTTTAGGAACTACAAGTGTTATCTGTCTCTTTCACATAAAGGTCTTTCTGCATGGTACACAGAGCATTAAACATCCACAGGTACATTTTTAACTTTGATTCTCCTTTTCAACAATGAATAAGATATTTTAAATAACTTGACAGAAGACTGGCCATCCATGGAAAACGTGAACTGATTTCAATTGGATAAAATATGTTTCTTTCTGCTGTCTGGTTATCATAGGCCTTGCTTCCTGCATTATAACTTAAAACGTGCCTTGACCTCATTTGCTCTCTATTCTTAAAAATGAATCATATCCCCTGATTAAAGTCAATAGTTAATCTAGTTAAAATGTGCATTCTATATAACTCTACATGTGATATAATCTCTAAGCAGAATGCTTCTGAGGGATTCACCTTTTATAAACTTGTTTTTATATATTAACACAAAACAGTTTCTATGTTCTGTATCAACCTCTCAAAAGTTGATAGAAACTTGCTCACGAGGAACTGGAACAGCTTTTGCTGTGTATCAGCTCTAAAAGGCAGACCACAGGGATTACAGGTATCTGAGTTACACCTCCGTCCTTACTACCAAATAGAGGAGAACATTGACAAAGTAGCCCTTAGTCATGCCTCAGTTTCTCTAAGAGAAAAATGAAAAATGGATACTTTACAGATTTAATTAGCATGTGCTAAGTAATTTGTGAAATCCGAATGATTTCATAGTGCTTGAATCTCTAAGACTGCTGTGCTCTGAAGGACTTATACAACTAAGACAGCAATATGTCGCTGCCTGGTGATGTCTGACACATTTGTCACTTCAGGCAACAGAAGAGCAGCATGGTGTGTGCTTTTACTTGTAGTTTTTAGAAAAATCTACCTCTCTGACTCTAAGTAAACCAGAACAGTCAATCCCATTTGCTTCATCTTTTTCAATGTTCTATGTTCTGAAATCAAACATGCCCCATGACTCATTTAGTCTTGGGAGAAACTACAACTTAACAGCGGTGACAGCAGCGCTGAGTGTACCACAATTATGACGCAATTATGGTTCTCAGTTCATTATTGAAAACTGAAATAACTAAACAGTCTGTGAGATCAGATTGATTTTGCTGCTTTCTAGTTAATAACTCCTGTAGTATTCCAAGGATTCTTGATAATTTCAATGACAATAAAACTATTCTCAAATATTACTGAATTTCAAAGTAGTTATACATAAAAATGTAGTCATCCTGTATAAAAATCCAATGTTTCTCATAAGAATTAGTAATTTTGGATCTAATATATATATATATATATATATATATATATATATATATATATTTCTACTTACTAACATTTATATATTCTAATATATATGTATATATACCTTTAGGTTGCTACTTATTAAAATAAATAATCAGTGTTTATACTCCATGAAGGCCTTATGTGGGGAGATGCTAAGTTTGTAAGGGGCAAGGGGAGGGGGTAAAATTGAACTTTTGCTCTTGAGAATGAAGAATCTTGGAGACTAACGCACGCAGGTTTG